CAGGAGCATTGACAACTGTCAAGCAGTGGTCAGCTAATGGCCTTGCCAGGGGGAAACCTGCACTCACACCCCCAAGCCTGCACCAACTGGTCTCACTTCTAGTGTCGCTTCAAGTGCTGATGAACGGCTGGAAGCTCAGGACTGACTTACTTACCCACTTTCTGCAGAACAGTGTGTTCCAAAGCATGGCATGGCTGCAAAGCAGGGAGTTCCACAAGGGCCTCCTTGAGGCAATACCTGCAGATACCTCTTAGATCTGATGCTATTTTCACCATGCATTCTTACTTATGTGTGCTCCATGCAGCCATGAAAACACAAAAATATGTATAAAGTAGAAATTCCTAATTGGATTTAAAATGGTTATCGCATCCATCTACCTTGTATAATTTAAAACATTTAAAACAAGAAACAGCAACCATTCACCTGGTGGCTATCAGATAACAACAGGAAATTAGACAATAATTTACTGCTGACATTACTATGATCCCAAGTGTTCATTAATCTGAACTCCTAAATTGGCTTTTATTTAGACATACAGTAGAAATAACGTGTCCATTAGTGTATCTACTTTCATAGACTTCAGATATATGCATGGTACCAGCTTTAATCAAATAAAAAATATTTTTGTTTTCTATGTTTAATTGTAACACATTTTCATTCTCATACTAATAAATGTCTGATACTATTTACATTTGCCAATAACTATAACCATCCAGCAATGAAACTGGTATTTTACATGCTTCCCACCATCAGTTATTTCGGCATCAGTAATATTTACGAACAACTTTTTTGCAGGTTTACGTATGACTCAGTACGCAATGTAAACATGGGCCAACCCACAAGAATAAAGAGGAGCGCTACCCCTCTCCACTCACCTTGTATTTGTCCATTTCCCTTTTCTGCAAGTGCACAGGGTAAAAGAACAACAAAACAAACAAACCCAAGTGGATTTGGACACTGCAAATCCAGTTAAAAGGCTGGCTAACCTCAGGTTTGGCATACCAAAGACCAGTGCGAACAAATGCTTTCGTTTTCATCTGTCAGCTCCCACACCGCTCAAATGGAATTGCGTAGGGAGATTTTTCCTGCCTTGCTTCAAATAAATGGGTGTTGTGTTTACATACTGCATACTGAGCATTGCCCACCCTAAGCCAAGGGCTGCATCTTGCCAACTCTTAACTTTCGTACAATATGGCGATAACATGAGCCAGCATACCATTAAGTCACATAACAAAACTTGGAGAATGGCACTGCCAGCTTGCAGAACTGCACCTGAACGACTGACATGCAGAGTACAAAGGGAGAAACTAGATTTCAGTGTGATGGCAGAACTGGGTCAGAAGCAGACTGGGTTAGCTGCCTCAGTTTAAACTACAAAGCCAAGTGCTGCATAGTTCACAGAAATAAAGACCTACAGGAGCACAATACAAGCATGCCAAGAAAATAAAACTAAAAGATCATAAACAAGCCTTACAAAACACTCCCCCCACCCTTAATCCTTCCAGGTCACCTTCTGCTTATTCTCCATATGACACTTTACTCCAGGATGTTCTTTCCAGCTGCAGTACTCACAAACTGTCCTCCCCTCCCCTAAGCAGGGTCAAAACCAGGGGAAAGAAGAAAAGAGACCTTAGTCCACTGCTCAATGTGAACAGCACATCTTTCTGGCTCCAGCAAGTTCTCTTTTTCTCTCTGGTAAGTAGCAGATCTATACCTACCGTGAGCGCCAAATGTCTTAGAGCAGCTAGTGTTCATTTTTTCGCAAAATGAGCAAGGAAGATGGGAGATCAGAGCTCACTATTTCACCTATAACAGTCACTCTGCAAGCTCGCACAAAGGTATCAGATACCTGCTTTGCTTTTCTGATTTAGCCTGCTGATACGAGAACTGGAGGAGGCATCTTGTGTACTAATTCTTCTTCCAGGTACTATTCCATAGTTATTTCTACAGTCTCCCACTTCAGTGACACAAACATACCACGGATAGGACAACCTAAGGTCATTTAACTACCATTAATAATGCACATGTTCAGAGGTAAAAAGCCAAGCTGAGATCTAAGACACTTCTAATACTGAGGTTTCTAAGAGGTTGTGCATCTAATCCACTGCTGAACCAAGTATTTGTGATACCTTACCATTAGCAGCCTTGAGCTAGCGCCATGGGTGACTCCTCCTTGCAGCATATTTCTTAGTAACTTAATCCTATTTAGACTGCCTTCAAATCGTACAAAGAAAAAGCAAATCATAAATCTACCATATTATTGCAAGATTGTATCACACTAGCACCACTCATTCTGTTTTATTCAAAATATCACATCAGTGATATTTTACTTGTAAAATACTAGCATGCATGCAAATGAGCATAAACTCACTTCTGATAATAGTTTTAATTACTAAGTATATAAGCCTGCAAATCCTCTCGTACAAGTAATCCTTCAATAAGATTAATTCATGGAAATAGTCCCATTGAAGAAGGATTTGTATGACTGGATCCCAAATGCTTAATCAGATTTTTAAAGGCATTATTACTTAAAAAAATATAAAAAATCCAGGAGGTGTTGGTATGCTCAGAACAAGGGGTTATATATTTATCAAACTGTTTAGTTTCAGAAACCATCCTTCTGGGGCTGACACTGCTGGGAAACATGCTTCTGCAGTTCCTGTGGTTTCTCAGGTTAGGGCTGATTTAAATAAACTGACCAACCTGGAGCCTGGCGTTCAGCATGACTTGTCTTTCAGCACTTGCGTTGCGCTGACGTATGACTCAGCTACTCCTTCAGCTGCACTAGTTATATATTATCCCTATGTAACATTACCACAAATATCAAAATCCCTGATTTATTTGAAGTACTATCCAGGTTCTACCAAGTGGTTCTCACTTTCTCTACTATGGCAGAATATTTTATTATAACAAATGGAAACTTCTTTCCTGGCTCCCCAATCCTTTTCACTATGCCACTTACCAGTCTAGACAACAGCAAAAGTAGCCACAGGAAAAGCATATAGGTTAAAATGTGCTTTTAATGTGCTGAGTGTCCTCCTTCATGTATCCACTTCACTTGCTCTCTCTTTGCACAAGGGTCTTTGTGGCTTTAGTGGAAAGGCGTTCTTGAAGTATCTCCTGCTCTGAACCCCTTGGAATGACTAATTGTCTGGTATCACATTTGTTTGCTAATCCTTAAAATATAGGAAACGATCCTTTGGAGAGCTAGGAGTCTTGTCACTGCCTCCAGGAAGCAGGAAGCGTAACTGCTTGAAGGCTGACAGATGCTTTACCACCATGACAAGAAGCTGTTCCACAGGCTACATACAGCTTGTGAGCGCCTGAGTCAAGACATATGGTCCTGAATGCCAAGACTGCCTGTCTTTCCCAGTTTACAGGGAAAGAGAGATTGCTCCTGCTTGGTTCTGAATTTGCAAAAGTACTCTGTTGGCTTTAGAAGTTTACAGAACATGTGAAATAAAACGCTTGACTGCTTGCATTCATATATCATCATTTGTTTGCTGAACAGTTTTTTCTTCTCTGGGGAACGAGCCCTATGTATATGCTTCCATGGGCTAGAATAACATCCTGTGACTTTGTTACTGTCCGCTCCAGTATTAAATGAACGCATATACCTAAGCACACATAAATATGTCTCTTACACTTTAAGAGACCATTCCAATCTCATAATGTACTCAGCATATTTGACCAAGTTTGTATATAAGGCCTAAAACAACAGCTCTGCAGTGTAAGGCATCTTGAGTCATCTATAGGGAATAAGTAACAGCAATGGATATATGCTGCTAGAATTCGGAGCTGATCATTTAACTGTACCTCAGCATCACAAAAATTAAGTCTCCAAGTTATAACTTCTTAACCATGGTACATTCTCCAGTGCTTGGGCCAGCTGAGATTTGGATATTTCAGAAAGCAAATATTTATAATTCCTGTCACATCTTGAAAAACTGTTTAACTGCCCCAAAGACTTCAGTAAGGTCTTGTCCATTTAAAAAATTGATATATATATATTGTGATTTTTCCAATGACTGTATGCTGAAGTGCCTACAGGCTGCAGGCCTGCAGGGGACCCAGCAGCTGCCAAGAAATAGATAAAAGCAGGTAGTATCTCCTTCCTGACCAAGAAGTGGAGGTGAAGGCAAAACCCCCAGCACAGCACCCGCTGCACTGCTAATTCTCAGAGCTCAGTCTGGCACCGAGTCCCTAGGTCAGCCAGGATGGAGGGTGGCGGCACCCCGCAAAGTCAAGCCTTTAACTTCTTGGAGTTTCCCTGTGCTGTGTATTGTTACAAGGTGACTTTTCCACTCACGTCTGTCCCCATCCATCCTTTCAAGAAAACAATTCACAGTTCAACCACTGTTCTATATTTCTACAGAACTTGGAGAAATAGCGGCAGCGACGTCCGCCACGGTGCAGAGCGGCTCTTGGCAGCGGGTGCGGGAGGGCACGGGGCGGTATGTGGAGCTGCCCGCCACACCGGCTCGGCTCCGCAAGACGGAGCGGTTCGGATGGAGCCCCGCGCACGGCAGCAGCCGCGCCACCGCCGCCTCCGATTATTGCCCGTTTTCGCGCTCAGCTTGTCAGTGTAACACAGACCACTGATTTATTAAGGCAATTTTTCCAAGCGCCTTCTCAGATCTCCCACGGCTCAGCCGCCGATCAGGCCGCTTCCTGCAACTTTTCCACGGGCGACGACGGCAAGACGGGCGGTATCTTTTCTTCCCACCCCGCTTTCCCAAACCACTCACCAAGGGCAGCGGTCGCCATCCCCGGCGCCCCTCACCTTCCGGCTCCCCGCGGACACCCCCACGGACACCCCCACGGACACGGGTGCGCACTCCTCGCCCGGAGGCTGCCCGACCCGCGCACCGCTCTCCGCTCCAGCAGCGCCCCTGTGAGCGGCGGACCTTCATCCGCCGGGGACTGGCGGTCCAGCCGTGCTCTGCAGGTCGGTCCTGCCGTTGCCCCCTGGCAGCCCCTCGCCCCCCGGCCTCACTTACTTGTGCCTTCTTCATAAGGAACAGCAGCGCTGCAGTCCAGCCCAGCCGGCAGTGCCCAAACTCCCTTCAGCGGAACTGTAGCTCCAGCATAACGCAGCAGCGGATAGTCCACGCATTGGGGTTGCCCACGGCGAGCCCCACGCTGCCTCCGCCTGCGCTGCTGCCCCCCGCCGCCGCCCTGCGCGCTCCGCTGCGCCCCGCTCTCTGCGGCGTGAGAGTCCGCACTGACTGGAGGCACCCCCGGCGCCTGGCCAGGTCTTTTATATCTCCGATCTGCCTCCAGCAGCGGCGGCGGCAGCGGCAGCGCAGGCAAGACACGCCTTTTCCCTCCCTCCCGCCCTCCTGGAGGAGCGAGAGCCCAGACAGACCCCGCAGAGAGGGGGAAACCCGAGTTAACTTAGGGGAAGTTAGAGGCAGGAGCAAGCCCGCCCTGCCCTTATCCCTGCACAGAGGGAAGCGCGTCCGCCGCTGGGCTAGAGGGGGAGCGGCAGGGGGGGTCGCAGGAGGTGCGGGAAGGGGGGGGGCTCGTTATCCCGGCCCTGGCAAGGTGGGGTGAGAGCAGAAGGCTTCTCCCGCTCGGTGCCCGGGGTGTCGGCAGTGACCTGGAGAGTTGACCCCAGCCGAGTAGGGCGGATCGGGGCGGGGGTCTCCAGCCTCCTCCGCGGGGGGCGCCGGTAGCGGCCGCGGCACTCGAGAACAATCAGGCTGCCGGCGGGGAGCCAAGCCCTTGGGTTGGGTCCCCCCACCCACGCCGTTGAGAAGGGGGGGGGGGGGGGGCCCTGTGGGGGCCCCTCCCGCCGCCGGGGGGCCGTGTCGTCCCGCGGAGGGGATGCAGCGGGCTAGGCGCGCTGGCTGGGCTCCCAGGCGCTGGCCGGTATTTTCAGCGCAGCACGTAGCTGCGGCAGCGGCGCGCACACCCAAGAGGCAATTCCGGATTTGCGATTTCCATTTCAGGGCTGCCTTTCCATAATCGGAAAGTCGGAATACAAGTCGGGCGCTGGAACGAGCATTTCACCTGCAGCCTGAAAACTCCCTTTACCTGCTCCTGCGGTAGAAAAGTTGTTGAGCAGTGCCTCCTAATGCTTGCATAGAGGTGATCCTGCGGATCTTCAAACATGCTGCTACAATTTGCGTCCTATGTAAATAATATATTAGTCCTGGGTGTGGAAAAATGACGATTGATTTCTGCTACGTGGAGTCCTGCTGGCAAATCCATCCCAGCAGAAGCAACAGAATTTGAGACCTCTTCAGATAAGACAGCTGTCAGGTGAACACAGGCATGCATTCCCGAGCATGCATTAAGTGTGAAGAAAAGTAGTTTCTGGAACTAGCGTTTCCTGAGACATCAATCTTTGGTGAAAATTGAGAAACACATTAACACGGACTGAAAGAAGAAGAGTGTGCCCAAGTCAGTAGTTATTTCCTAAGGGAGATTAGAAATACTTGGATTACACAGTGAGGTATTTCATTATAAAAGTTTGTCTAGATTTAGCCTTCAGTTAGTGGTAATTTTTCAAAAGACTAAGTTTCTGCCAAAGTAAAGGTGAGCTCTTCAGCTACAGAAAGATTTTTGAACCCATCCCCAACTCCACTGTGTATTTCTGTTTCATTGTAGAGCAGATAAATGTCTAATCTCTGTGTGCCTCTGCATCCAATCCAGAAAAATGGGTTGATATTTTACAACATGACACTGTTGATGAATTCATTACAGTTTTTTGCATTTCTTAGTTATTACTGTGCTGCATTACCTTGGAGCTCTTGTATTGCCCTCTGAGGTTTGTCAGACTGTTTTATATGCTTACAGTAATAATCTCTTCCTCTGAAAGGTTAGGATTCGAACAATAGACAAGCAGTGAAAAGGAGGAAGCCTGCAACAACAAAAAAAATCGAGGCCCCCACTCACTGAAAGGATAGTTCATGTATCACCTAGCAGTGATCAACCAAAGCTGCTTCCACAGTCTATGCATTTATCAAGCAGGGCCAGGGAATTAAAATGTTATGGCATCTTTCCTCCTTAGAACAGATGACAGGTTTAGTCTCCTGGGGAGAAGCCCTGGAAAGTGTGAAAGAGCAGTCTGTTGTAGCAGTTACCTACCTTATGGAAAACACTCTGTTTTTTCTCCGCTTTGAGCTCCGTCACAGTCCACTGTTAGTCATGACAGGAAAGCTGCGTCCAGTAACCTTACTCGTAGCTGTGCAGACAGGGTAGCATTCTTGGGTCTAATTAACTTTTTTTACCACCCTGGCATTATGTGCCTTTTCTCTCCATCCCTGACCTGAGTTCTTGAACCTGCCCTTGTGTTTAACCAAGCCTGGCTGTAGTGGAATTATATAGCCCCCTTTTCATCTCTTCATTTGCACTGGCAATTTGCAGGTGCATTGCTGCTGACATTGACCTCAGTATGGTTTGGGAAGTTTTTTTTCTGTGAAATTCAGACTTTAGTGGCTTAAACTTATTAATGACTTGTGTCCATAAGCCAAAAGAAAGCATGTTTTTGTCTTGCCCATTTCCAACGTAGTTCTGACTTTTGATTAACTGGTGAGAACTGGTTAGCCATGGATGATTAGCATGTGCTGGTTCTGGCTGGGATGAAGTTAATTTTCTTCATAGTAGCTGGCATTGGGCTCTGCTTTGAATTATCAACATTGAAAACAGTGTTGATAATACAAAGATGTTTTAGCTATTGCTGAGCAATGCTCACATAGAGTCAAGGCCTTTTCTGCTTCTCACACCAATGAGTAGTCTGGGGGTACACAAGAAGATGAGAGGGTACACAGCCAGGACAGCTGACCCCAACTGACCAAAGGAATATTCCTTACCTTATGACATCATGCTCAGCAGATAAAGCTGGGGGAAGAAGGAAGAGGGGTCATTCAAAGTTACACTGTCTGTCTTCCTCAGTCACTGTAATGTGCGAGAGAGCCCAGCTTTCCTGGGGATGGCTGAACACCTTCCTGCCGATGGGAAGTGGTGAATTAATTCCTTGATTTGCTTTGCTGACATGTGCAGCTTTTGCTTTACCTATTAAACTGTCTTTATCTCAACCCATGGGTTTTCTCATTTTCACCCTCATTTTCACCCTTCCTAATCTCTCCCACATCTCGTGAGGGAAGGTGAATGAGTGACTGTGTGGGGCTTAGTTGCTATCTGGGGTTAAACCAAGCAGCACATTGAATGGTGGGTTTCCAGAGCTCAACTGCAAACTGCATTCAGTTTTTTGTGGCCTACCTCAGTTGCATTTCTAAATGCTTGAGGGTGAACCCAGGCTCCTGTCATGGTTCTGTGACAGGAATTTATTCACGGGGAAGCTATAGAAAGCAGTGTTGGTCATCCTAGCTCTTCACAGGATTTGGTTCCACATGCTCAGCAGGATTGTCCTTCACCGGGAATACTGTTCTGCGTATATGGAAATAGTAACAGCTGAAGTATAAATGACGCTTTTCCAGTCTAGTGTGAATGGAAGAGTCTCACCATCTTCTGCAAATAAGAAATAGCTCTTTGCTCTGGAATTTTATGGAGTATCTGCTGTGCTTTCTGTAGCTACAGCCGTGAGAGGAATGACCCCACTCAGCATGCCAATAGCTTGGCAGCTGGCTGGTACAGCCGGAATTTGGGAATATGGAGAATCAGACCCAGCCCAAGCCACTGAGTTTGCTTCACCAGCTCGGAAAACTGAAGAATTTTCTTGTGAGGCCATCTAAACTGTGAAGGCAAACACCGGTGTGTACATATTAGAAAGATAACAGACTAATCCCGTCTAATCTGTTACAGACTCTGAGCATGTGTAGGCCTTTCTGGCACAGAGGGCCAGTCTGTAGCGTTAGCTCAGTTAACTCCTCTTCCCCCTGACTTTTTTTAAGAACATACAGTAAGAAGTACAAGCTTTTTTAACCTACTTCAGGCACATAGAAATCAAATGAAAGTTAAAACTGAGGTATTTAGAGCCAAGAAACTCAAAAAATAGCCTCAAGATTCTTTAGGTTTTATTTACAGAATTATTTGATTATAGAGGAATCAGTTCTCTACAGAAAAGAAAAATCTTGCAAATGTGCAAGATGTGCAGAATATCATATGAATTACTTTGATATTAAAGAAGTACATTGAGATAACTATCTCCTTAAGAGACTATCCCTATCTTTGATACCACAAAATATACTAGGTGTTACTTTGTGGTTGAGAACTAATATATTCTAATCTCAGAGCATAATCACAAGGGAGTATTAATACTTTAATATTGGATCAAAGTACATATTTTGAATTTATGATTGAGCCTTCTTATGCTTAACAGTTACTAAAGTGACTGTTGGTTCCTTGTAAGTCTTATACACCCTTTGTGCTTTATACAAATGACGGGGAGAACTTTTGTGATTATTCAATATTACTGATTAACAAGTGAATGACTCAGTCATGGACTTAGGACCACAGGGACACCTACACCACTATGGAGCCACTTTCATTGAGCACCATAAAAGAAGAGGACTTAGGTGCATTTATGCATTTTATGCATTAGGTGCATAAAAGGATTTAGGTGCATTATTTTCACTCAGATGAACAGGCTGTAAAGTTTAATTCACAAAAAGCAGTTTCTGTATAAATGTTTGATTCTCCATAATAACAGCATAGACTGAGATTTTTAGGGATAATGATGTTATTACATGGTAAAATCACTACCTGGCCAGTTCATTTGTGGACAGATTGGCAGACCAGCTGGGGGTAAATGCAATATTCTGGATGAATGGAAGTATCTAAAAAAAAAAAAAAGAAAATTTGAATTGAAATGTGATTGTTTATTGAAATGACAGCATAAGTAGCTCCTTACCACATTATGAAGCTTCCTTAAAAAAAACAGAAGCCATCTAGATGCAGGAAAAAGAAGAAGCAAGCAGTGCAGCCTAAGAGCGGAGCCAGGTGGTTTCAGACTGTTGGAAATCTGTTCAGGAAGTGCCAGTGAAGGAGGCTATAGATTTGTGTGAGATTCGTTTGCCCAGAAGGAGCTATGGAGAAAAGCATAAAGACAAAGCTAGAGTGCAGTCTCCGTTTTTTCTGGAAGGAAAGTGGGGCTTTGTTCATCTGACTACCATCTTGGTCTGAAATACTGGTGGAGAGAAGGAATGGCAGATTTTTATTGGAAGCCTAAACCTGCTTCTGTCTATTATGGTATTTACTGGTTTAATTTGCAGTAAAATGACAGTTTTGTTTCTGTTAGGATTTTACAGAGTGAAAATTAGCATGCCAAAGATAATGTGTTTTAATACAGAAAGTTTTTTTGTCCGGGAATATAAACCCAAAATAGGAAGTTGCACTGATGCTGTTAAAACTCAACCGAAGCCTGTAAAAATACAGCTGTATCTGCTA